AAAATGCGTCTCGTTGGACAGCCACCAAGACGCATGGGTCTTTAGTTTCCCAGAATGCACTGCAGAAAGAAGTTTGTGCCAAGATTGTTAAAAGGGAAAGCATGTGCAACAGTGCCTTATGAACAGTGCTGTGTTAGTGACCTGCAGGCCCACTGACCCATGCAATGAGACATTTGTTCCGCTGGGTTTCTATTCACAAAACGAGCAATAGGACGACACATTCTGAGCACAGATATCAATGGGGGAGAGAGAACCTGGCATCCTTTATGAGTTCCTAGGACTGGAAATTGGGCTTATTATCTACACATTTAATTATCTTCCCTGTGATGCTGAAAGACAAGTCCTTTGGCTAAGTAATAATCCATACTGCACCCAACTGCTCCCTTTCCCGTTAAGATGAGTGGAGGAATAACTATTTTTTAAAGTGTTTCTGACACCCCGCGTCCCCCGCCTCACTTGCTTATTTTATTAAGTTGCAATGAAAATGAATCGCCCTTCCATTCTTGGACTGTTAGCCGCCCATGTTGATCTGCACACCAGATGTTGAAAAGAATCAATTATGAGAGACATTTTGCTGCCAAGGAAAAAAAAAGTTCCCTGGGTGTGTGGCAACTGACATTTTCATCTGGCGCTTGGGATGTTGTGCCAGGAAATTGTCCCCTAAACAGTTGGCACCCAATGGCCCTTGCTGTCTAAATGAGCACAACCAATGTGCTCATAACAGCCAGGCACGGCTTCAGAAGGGCTTTCAAGAAAACCAACAGCTTGCAGGAAAGCAGATTGCATACCCGGTGCCATGCCCCACAGAAGGAATCCTCTTCAGAAAACCATCTGGAGCTCCCCAAGGCATAGGAGCCAACTTCTGGGGGCTGAGGGGGCTTCATCCTCCCAATAAAATATTTGAGGGGGTTGGGGGCCCCCAAAGTTGATGGGCATTGCCAATCAAGTGGTGTGCAAGCACCATGTCATGTAACCGATTAAGCAGGGTGGGGGCTTAACTGAGCCCCCCCAATCAGGCCAATCAGGTCGCTGATTCACTTCCACCTGGAGCTGGATTGGGTGGCTCCTGTGGACCAATCAGACTGCTGCATTCTGGATCAGCTCTGTAGGTAACAGTCCTCTAGGTGGGTCTCAGGTTTCAAAGCCTTTATTTCCAGGCACAGAATGCAGACTGATTCTTTTGCACCAGCTCCCTGATTTTTGAATCCCTGCCTACCTAGCTGGTCAGTGAACACCCTCGTGTTTGCTTCTTGACCTTGCTTCAGAAAGATTCTGTTTGTTGTTTAGTCGTCTTAGTCGTATTTCTCCAGGTGGATCACATTTAGTCTAAATTCTCGGCTGTGACTTGTCTGTCTTGGGTGGCCCTGCATGGCATAGCTCATAGTTCCTTATTCAAGCCCCTTCGCCACAACAAGGCGGTGATCTATGAAGAGGTCGGAGAGATTCTAGGCCCTGCTTATTTTGCTGCTCCTAAATTAGTTAATTCTGCGTTTGCATGTAAGCCCAGGAGAGGATGTCAGGAGGTTTTTCAGAAAGTGCAGGCCGAGAGAGGTGTGCAGAGTGCAGTCCATCAGTGATAATTTGTGGAATGAAAGGGAAGAAACTTTGCCAGCTTGAAAAGAAGCAAAAACACCACAACAAAACCCTGCACCTGATTCTGGGAAATTTCTCTCTCCCTTTTGATAATTCTAGAACACAATTCCCCCACCCCACCCCCAGTAATTAATGGAGAATGGTAAGAGGATAAATAAATAAATGTGGGAGGAGTTCTTGGCATAACACTATCCCTTGATTCAAGGCCTTTTGTAACTTTGAGTCCTAACAAGGAACTCAACGGAACAACCATAACAATAAAGTTAGCCACCGAAGTGTTAACAACAGCATGTTAGCTGCCAGCTATGGAATGCACACAATCACCCATCATTTCATGTATGAAGTGCTTCCTGTATATTCTTTAGTGTGTGGCCTTGTGTGTGATCAATTCCAATGGGAATCCTAATTTTGTGGCCTAGCAATTATCCCATTGACTACAATGATAATCTGTCTCCTATGCTAGTAGGCACTGTCTGTGTACTTTTTTTGTTTTGAAGTTGTTAAATCAATCCCAAACAACTCACAAAGGGAACTGCTGTGTTGGGGTGGGGGTGGGGGGTTAGGTGAGCTCGAAAAGCTGCAAATCTCCATGAGTTTTTTTCTGGCTTAACAGATACATTATTGTGGAATTTGGGGGGAAAGCTTCAAAACGGCGCTTTTAGAACCGAAAAGCGGAGCATGAATCATTCAGGAATGGAAAGAACCGAGGAGAAAGGGTTCATTACCATATAATTGCCAAACAAGATGTGTTCAGGACAGATTAGTGAGTTGTCAGAGTTTCGGGCACACATGGAGCGTTTTCAAGTGCAGAATGTTAAAGGCGGAAAATCCTTTTTTTTAACTTAAGGGGTAAGGTGGCCGTGGTGGGGATTGGGAAGGCTAGCTGAACTTGGTGGAAATGTCTCCGAACTAGAACCATAGGTTTGGATGGGACCTCAAAGGGCATCTGGTCCAATCCATAGCCAATATAGGGAATCTGCTGCTATGGCATCCCTAATAGGTTGGCCATCTGGTTTCTGCTTAAAAAATTCAAATGAAGGAGAGGCCACCACCTTCTTTGCCACCTGCAGCCGCACAGCCAGACACCTTCATCCCCGGCTGCAACAAAATACGTCTCTCCCATATTGGTCTCTACAATCACAGCAGGTACTGTAACCTTCCAACAGTTTGACTTCACCTGCCAAGGTGCAATCCTCCATTGTCTCTCAAGACAGACAGATGACAACATACACCACATCACACAACTGCCCTGCTTTGAGTGGGACTCCGTCAAAGATTTACAGAAGCCACACAGGATGCCAATCACGGATGTCCCATTTCACCTCCATCTGTCTCTGCATCCATCTCCTCTACCTCCACTGTGACCTCTGCTGCTTCGGCCACTGCCTCTGCTGCCTCTGCCGCAGCTGCCGATGTACTTCCGGAAGCTGGCGCTGCACTCGCCTGCGAACCAAAATAATGTGGGACCAAAAGATACTACACTCTCCTGTTCCTCTGGCATCACTTTGGGAAGAACATGTTTGTGTGTGGGGTGTGTGTTTGTGTATGTGTATGTGCATGCACACAGACGTGTGTGTGTGGTGTTGGGCAGCAGGTAAGGGCACTCCGTAGCGAGATGGGGGGAATGTGGTGGCGGTGGGGAGAGATTGGTGTTGCTGGACTCTAATTCCCATTGGTTTATGTTCCAGCTGGCCATCCCCTTTCTCAGGGAAGTGGAAGCTATGGTCCTCAATGTGATGCTGGACTCCGAATCCCATCAGCCCCAGCCAACAGAGGCAATTGTCAGGGGTGATGGCAGTTGGAATCCAGCAAACATCTGGATGGCCACCAGTTTCCCACCTTTATCTTATGCGAAAAATCCCCTAGGGGAACCAATCTAGCCCATGGTCCAGCGGATCACCTGCTTTCTTGGAGTGTAGAACCTGTGGCCCTCCAGGTGATGTTGGACGCCAACTCCCAGCAGCCCAGATGGCAGGATCAGTGATCAGGGATGGTGGGAGTTGGAGTCTAGCAGCATTTGAAGAGCCACAGATTTCCCACCTTTGCTTTATCAGGAGAATTGAACGTACTTTGTTCTTAAATTGCAGCGCATGGTGGGATTCCATCCCTTCCTCTCCACAATTCTTCCTTGTATGACAATAGGACTGTAATTTTCAGTCTGTCATCATCTTGAAAGTGTTTCTCAAACGCTATCCATCAGTATCTCACCAACCTAGTCAGCCCCTGAGATTGATGTGTCTTCATGTGTCTTTTTTCTTTCTTTTTGTATATGTGGCCACATTTAATCTCTGCCTTTAAAAACCATGTTTTCACCCTAAGAGTACAACCTTTCCATTGATTAACAGTTGGCTAATGTTGTGAATCACTTAGAACCACAGGTGTGTGTGTGTCTGTGTATTCCAATAAGGTTTCTTTTAAATGGGGGATTGAATAATGGTGTCCCCAGTTGCCTGATGGCTGAAATGCTGACAAGGAACACGCAGGAAAAATGGCCTTTAAAAAGCACTGAGTCCTTTAACTCAAGCTTGAGAGGGGAAAATTGCTGAGTGCATCACTTTAAGCATATTTGGACAGGATTGGACAAAGCACTTTCAGGTACTGCCAACTCGAGGCGTATTGAATCAGAATGCAAGCCTCAGTTTTAGAAGCAGGGGCAACCCCCTATAGGAATGTGAGCCTTGTTCCGTGCCCACAGTTCAAGAATCCTGAAGCCTACTCCTGCAAGAGATGCCGGAGATGTTTTGAACTATAGAGCTGCATCAGGGGTGGGGAACCTCTGGGCTGTGGGCCAAACCTGCCCTGCCAAGGGGATCCAAGTTGGCCCATGAAACCATTTCCCTCAGTTCAGGATTTAGGGTGTGGGTTGCATTGATATTTCCTGCTAAGGCAAAGTCCCCCGACCCCACTGTCTGAGCAGGGCTTTTGATGGAAACCCATTCCTGATTCAGGATTGGTGTATGCGCGCACTGAGATTGTCTGCTAAAGTGAAGGAAAACCCTTCATTTTAGTGATGCCTTTCAAGGTGCTTTGCAGTCCTGACTTTGGGACTTCAAAGCACCTTTCACCTGATGCCATTGTGATGTCAGATGATTGACAGCTGGGGGGTAGACACCACTCCCATCAGACGGATATATGCAGAAGCTGGGAACCTGTGGCCCTCCAGATCGTATCGGACTCCAGCTATCATCAGTTTCAGCCCGCATGGCATAGGGTCAGGGATGATTCAAGCTGCAGTCCAGCAACATCTGGAGGACAACAGGATCTCCATCCCTGCTCTGTGCAACCTCCCCTTTCCAGATGGGAGGACCATCCATCCACAAGAAGCAACTTGCCAGTTTCCTAGGCATTTAAAGCAGAGTTTATAATGTTCACCTTCTATTTGAAGCAACCATTATGAGCAGTTGAAGTTCATATTTCTCAACCCATGTGTATTTGTCTTGGCAAATTCTGTAGCACTAAAAGAAGAAGTTTATATTTGCAAGCCACTGTAGTATGGCACCTTTTGTTGATTGGCAGTACTGGCATTCTGTTAAATCAGGGGTAGGGCACCTTTTCCAGCTTGAGGGCCACATTACCTTTGGAGGGCCACATACATTTGGTGGGCACCTGAAAAACAAATGTAAATGTTACCTTTGTAATATGGGTTAGTTTCTACGGCCCCTCTCTATCCTCCAACCAGCCAACCAAGTCTGGGTACCCACCTTGCCCTAGTGACCAGCCTCCTCTGCTCTCAGGTCTCTGTCTGCTGCCCTTCCTGATCTGCCACTCGAGCCAATGGCTCAGCAAAGCTCATGGTAGAGCCAGCCCCAGTGGTTCTATTACAGCACCTTTACATTTATGAAAAGCTAGCATATGTCCACCCCATACCTTGCATTTCTTTTCTTTTGGGGTGGTGAGGGTGGGGGTGGGGGGGAGAATCTTGGGCGAGGATAACCTTACAAAGTAGAGTTTGCAGTTGTTTGGTGGGAAAAACAACCACCACCTGATCGAAGTCGCACACGGAGCGTTTTTCTAAGAGCGATGTGACATGACAAATTTTGAGAGGCTCTATCATTGCCATTAATATTTATAAAGTGCTTGAGAAATCAGCCAGTGCGCATCCATCAGGGCTTGTTTTGGCAGAACTGTACTGTGTTGCCTGATCAACAAAGGATGGATTTTCTGTGCCATTTTTTGGCCGGCTTGGGTCACTCATCCTGTCATCTCACTCAGTGCCCCTGCCCCCCCAGCAGTTTTGTAATGTGTGAAAGGGGGTGTGGGGGTGTTTTCTACTGTCAGCAAACAATTGGGCTGGCAACATGCTTGCTGGAGTTCCAAGCCAATATTCTCTCAACACCATCTCAACAGGACCAGGCTGTGAATCAGCAATTACCCAGTTTGAATGCCACCTTTGCCATGAAGTAGTAGTAGCTGTTGTGGTGGTGGTTAAGCATTTTTATTCCACTTTTCAGTTGGAAGCAAACCCCTCCCAGACAGGATTACAGATATTAGGGAGAAGACAGTCTCTGTCCTCAGGCTCACAATTTAAAAGACACAACACAAAAGGAAAAGGGTTTGGGAGGAAGGAGGGAAATGCAAGCTTGGGCCCTGATTCTTAGTTACAGAGAAACTTGTAGTGAAAATTAGGGATGGAAAATTTGGAGAGGAGACAAAGGTCTTTCCTCTGTGCTGATGGAGAGGCCCTTCTACCCCATCTCTCCCCCCCCTCACACCCACCCTAGTGGAATGTCTTCTGTGGATGACAGCTGAAAGAGGGTCTGTTATATACTGAGCTTGGATCCTAGAACAATAGGCAGGTAGGATTCTAGAAGACAGCAACCTGATTGGTCTGCAGGAGCCGCCCAATCCGGCTCCAGGAGGAGGTGAATCAGCAGCTCCAGGAGGAAGTGCAGGAGCAGCCCAATCAGGCTCCAGAAGGAAGTGAATCAGCAAGCTGATTGGCCTGCAGGAACAGTCCAATCAGGCTCCAGGAGGGCAGTTGAATCAGCCAATCACACGGGACCCATTGTGCAAATAATGTATATATAGCCAGAGGTTTGGGGGGGAAAGTACTCACTCACTGTTTACCATGAGCTGAAATAAAGAGCATGAAATAAACACTCGAGTATATTTCAGGGTCCCTGGCTGCAAAAGTGGGTGAAACAATGCATTTTTTCCCACCTGAATGGTGGGAACCAGAGTTGGCGGAGTGGGAGGAACCTTTGCTTTCCACCCTGACTTCCATCTCTTAGGGAGAAGGAGCAGGGATGTAGTTCTCTCCCCACCCCACCCTCCTTTCCTGACAAGTGAATACCCTGAGTAAAAGCTTTGGAGAGTTTGGAACTGAGTCTGGAGGGAGAACCAGAGGCAGCAGTGACTGAACAGGAGCCTGAACAGCAGGGTGCAGCCTTGTTGCCTAGAACCAGGTGCCTTAAGTGGGCACAGGACATTGGTCATAACATTATGTTTGCTGACTGGGAATGGTTGTGGAACACCGGTATAAAATTTACGGCATGTAATGCCTTAAAGGAAAATATTATGAAAATGATCTATAGGTGGTACATGACTCCAGTCAAGCTAGCAAAAATTTATCATTTGCCTGATAACAAGTGTTGGAAGTGTAAAGAAACTGAAGGCACTTTTATCACCTTTGGTGGACGTGCCCAAAGATTAAGGCTTTCTGGGAAATGATATATAATGAATTAAAAAGGTACTTAAATGTACTTTCCTGAAGAAACCAGAGGCCTTTCTCTTGGGCATTGCCGCCAATTGGTATCAAAGAAAGACAGAACTTTTTATGTATGCTACGACAGCAGCAAGAATACTCATCGCAAAGTATTGGAAGACAGAAGAACTACCCACCTTGGAAGAGTGGCAGATGAAGGTTATCGACTACATGACATTGGCGGAGATGACTGGCAGAATCCGTGAGCAGGGGAAAGAGACGGTGGAAGAAGATTGGAAGAAATTTAAAATCTATCTAAAGAACTATCATAAAATTGAGGAATGTTAAAATGTCGAGGTTTGGAGAAAGAAAAGGAGATTACAGCGACATAAGATTAAGTTGAAGAAAAAAAAAATAAGAAAAATATATTTGATAAAATTATTTAGAATTTGCTGAAATAATTTTGGGAATTGGGATGTAGGAAGGGGAGGTTTGGGGAGTCCGAGAAGAGAGGTTATGAAAAAAAGGTTATGAAACTATACATGTTTGTATGTCTTTTTATTTGTTTGTACTGTATAAAACTTGTTTGTAAAATCAATAAAAAATTATTTAAAAAAAAAAAAAAAGAACCAGGTGCCACCTTTTAAGATGGGAACAGACCGCTCCCCCAAGGAGTGCTTGTTTAAAGTCCCAAAATTTTCACAAGGCGAGAGAGTCTTACGAGTGGGAATGCCACACCTCACCATTAAAAGCTTGGTGGGTGGGGTATGGAAACTTCTTGGGACATCTTAGTTGCTTTGGTCCAGCTCTGAACTCCTTTCTCTGCTCCTGAACTCCTGAGTCATGACTCCTGAGCATGGTTTGTGCTGCTGAGCCTGTACTGAGCCTGAATAAAGGTCTGTTTCTAACTTGCAAAAGAGAGCCTTTGTGTGAGTGTTTTAGGGTGGGAGCCAGGACAGTTACAAACTCTCTCACACACCCCTCCACCCTACACCCAGGCCAGCAAGAGAGATTATCAGCATTCAAGGAAACATCCCAGCCAAGCAAAACACACACAAAGAGATGCAGAATAGGGCTGGTAAGGATTTCGGACTGGGGAGAGGGGATCTGTCTGAGTAGCCGGTTTTGCCTGAGGGCAGTCCTGGGGGCCATATAGAGAGGTCTGGCCATATTTGATGTCTGGACCCCCCTTGGTATAGTGTATCAGGATAAAAATGCACGACTTTGGAGCCATGTGCAAACTGAACATAGAAAAATGAAAGGAGGGAAGCCAAGGTTTCCATAAAGTGCAATAAAAATTGGCACTTATAATAGCTGTACTGCTGGGCAGGTTGTATTTCACAGTGCCTTTGTGAGCCCATGACATCTGGCTGTGCTATCTGTGTAAATTTCCTAGCCAAAGTGCTGGGATGTGTGTGTGGGGCATGTTGTGTATGAAGATCAGAAATGCAGACGTTTCCATCTCTGCCGCAGAGCAACCACTTATCTGTGACACTAATTTCACAGCAAGAAGATCTCCCAAGTAAAAAGCTGTTAGTCATTGCCAAGCAGGCTAATGACGCCCTTCCATCCATGCTTCCCATGTCTTTAGAGAGAAATTAGCAGGGAGGGCAATGGGATGCTGGAGCGATGGAGCCCCGTGGCATCTTTGTCTCCGCAAAGCTGGCAATTTGCTGTCATACTCCTCATTCCAAATGCACAGCTTTCCTTTTTTGGCTCTCGATGGGAGCAGGGAGCTCAGGCGACTTGTTTACAAGGCAGGAGAAGGAGTGCCTTGGACAGAAGTGCACCTGAAAGTTGGGTTCACACATGTATCATTATGCAGTTGGAAGAGTTAACCCAAGAGTCATCTAGTCCAATCTCGACCAATGCAGGAATCACAGCTAAGATGGCCACCCAACCTCCATTTAGAAGCCGCTAACAAAGGACAACCCACCAGCTTCCAAGATAGCCCATTCCACTCTCAAACAGACCTTACCATCAGAAAGCTCTTCCTAATGTTTAGTCAGAATCTGCTTTCTTGTCATTTCAATCCATTGGTTCAGGTCCTACCTTCTGGAACAGCAAAAGAACAAGCTTGTTCTCTTTTCCATGTGATAGCCCTTCAGAGAGCTGTCATATTTCCACCCAGTCTCCTCTTTTCTTTTCTTTTTTAATTTTAATTTTAATTTTATTTTATTAACATATAAAACACATACATATACATTTACACAATACACGTACACAACATACTACCTTATTTTCATAACATAAAACATACCTACATTACTCTATATAATACCTACCTATACTATACATATCAACATACCTACACACCTACCCCACACGGACACCCACCAAGTGATTTGACTTCCAGCCGTTCTTGTTACGCTACTTTATTTTTCCAACTAGCTTAAACGCATTTCATTATTTCTTTAATCGCTTCTTCTACCTTAACTTTACTCTCCTTTCACGCTAATCATTTTCTGGATTCACTCAATTTCTGTCAGAAATTCTACTTTTTCCACATAAATTCTGATGTATTCCTTAAAGATAGCCCACTCCTTATTCACTTTTTGTACCATATCTCCTCTTATCCTTCCTGTTAGTTCGGCAATATGGAAGTATTCCATCATTTTAGATAACCAGTTTGTTTTAGTTGGGACGCTGCTGCTTTTCCAATTTTTGGCAATCAATAACCTTGCCACCATAGTTGCATACATAAATATTGGTCTGACCGTTCTTTTTATTTCCTGTGACTTGATACTTAGGAGAAAGGATTCTGGTTTTTTTCCAAATGAAAATCTAAATATCTGTTTCAGTTCGTTATAGGTATTTTCCCAGAATCCCACTATCTCTTTGCACTCCCACCACATATGTAGAAAGGTTCCTGCTCCATTGTTGCATCTCCCAGTCTCCTCTTTTTCAGGCTAAACATACCTAGCTCCCTCAGCCATTCCTCATAAGGCTTGGTTTCCAGCCCCTTGATCATCTTGGTCATAGAAGAATAGAATCTTAGAGTTGGAAGGGGTCCCAAGGGTCATCTAGTCCAACCCCCTGCGATGCAGGAATCTCAGCTAAAGCATCAATGACATGACCATTTAACCTCTGCTTTAAAACCTCCAAGGAAGGAGAGTCCACTACCTCTCATGGGAGTCTGTTCCACTGCCGAACAGCTCTTACTGTCAGAAAGTTTTTTCGAATGTTTAGTTGGAATCACCTTTCTTGTAATTTGAAGCCATTGCCTCAAGTCTTACCCTCCAGAGCAGGAGAAAACAAGCATGCTTCCTCTTCCATGTGACAGCCCTTAATATATTTGAAGATGGCTATCATATCTCCTCTCAGTCTCCTCTTTTCCAGGCTAGCTAAACATACCCAGCTCCTTCAACTGTTTCTCGTAAGGCTTAGTTTCCAGACCCTTGATCATCTTGGTTGCCCTCCTCTGCATACATTGCAGCTTGTCAACATCCTTCTTAAATTGTGGTGCCCAGAACTGGACACAGGACTCCAGGTGTAGAATAGAGTAGTACTATTGCTTCCCTTGATCTGGACACTATACTTCTGTGTTAGCCTTTTTTCTGCTGCTGCATCATACTGTTGACTCATGCTTAACTTGTGGTCTACTAAGCTCACTAGATGCATTTCACAAGTACTACTGTCAAGCCAAGTGTTCTCTAAGTGTGCATCTGAGTATTTCAGTAGTGACTGGTGCCTTCAGGAACCAGTGAGTCAAAGGTCAGGGAGATTTAACAGCAGGCAGAGGTTGAGCCAATGATAGGCAGACCCAAGCAATTCTTGTTTCGTTTCCATCCTCCTCCCTGCTAAGGGCGACACTGAGGCTAAGGAGGAGGAAACTGATTGTATGAAGGCAGGTAGGTGGTGAGGGGGCTGAGGTTGGTGGGGCAGTGTCCCCTTGGCCCTAGTGGTTCATCCTCCACTGCACATGTGCAGGTCAGGCTCCAGGATGGCAGTGTTAAGTGGCAACACAAACGGGGGAACAAGCCATCACAAATGAAACGGCAAAGACATGTTACTGTTGTTACTTATTACTTGTTGCAGTACCATTAGAATACCTGGTGCTGTGTAATGTGTGTGTGTGTGGGGGGGGTAGATTCACATCTACTCATGAATCTCTGGGTGATTTGCTGTAGTGAGTTCTGACTTGCAAAGTAAAACTGCATATCTGTCTCTCTAGATCAGGGGTCAACAAACTTTTTCAGCAGGGGGCCGGTCCACTGTCCCTCAGACCT